CACTGATGACAGTTAAAGCTTAGGAGGATTTTTATATCAGAATCTCAGCTTTGTGAAAAGTGTGCAGATAGGGGGTATTATTGAATATAAGCCCTCGATGTTTAAAATATATAAACATTTTATTTCAACGTATACAAAAAATAAATCTACCTGCGTTACAGCACGTCGGGAGACGGGGAAGGGGCGGCCGCGGCGTAGCGTGACGTGGTGTGCGCGCCGGTTGCGCGGGGTACGCGGGGCGCGAGCGCGACGCGCGCGGTGTGGCGCGCTGACGCGGACCGCCGCGAAGCTAAGCAAATTTAATGTTTGAAAGAAAAATAATGTCAATGGATTTTATTTCGTTTTTAAAAAGGTAATAATGTCAATTGACTTTATTTCGCACCAGGGAGGGAAATAAAGTCAATTGACCTTATTTCCGTTGATCTTATTACCTGTCACCTCAATAATTACTGGTTTATCGAAGATTTCGTATTTCTCTAAATTACCGTTATATGAGATGTGGGCGTGGTTATTGTCCGATATTAAAAATTTTCGGCGATTTTGTATATTATATCAAGGTTAACAACTGTGCCAAGTTTGGAATAAATTGGTGCAGCGGTTACCAAGATATACACATGTAACCATAAGTGGGCGTGGCCACGCCCATTTTCCAAAAATTTATAATATTTTTATTTTTACGTTGATATTTTTTTGAGCTCAAGGCCGGGTTGAAAGAAAACAATCTGTTTTTATTGTTTTTAAATCGTCTATATTTCGACTTCAGTCTGAAGTCATCATCAGCACTGCAATAAATATCTTAATTACAAAAATTGCATAAAAGACTATCAACATACTAGGGGTATTCTCCAAATCTTGCAAAGCCATTGCACGTAGCACGGATTGCATGGATTGCATAACTTGCAAACACACAACAACAAAATACATGGGAAACGACATTTCCTATCGCTGCAAAATATGCAACGTCGAAACCCATGTATATATTTTGCAAAATAGCATAGCAAGATATATGCGACCCTGTGCTAGTTGTTTTGTTGTTGGAATTGCTACATATTTCTCTCATTCCTCTCATCTCGCTCACTTCATTTTTTTCTGCTGTCTCTTGTTATTGTATTTGATACATAATTTCGCTGCTTGCTACCCATGCATTCTACCACTTTGCAATGGGGTGCTCTCGTACTCTTCGAAATTTGGGATAGTATTTTTGCATTTCGTGCAATACGTGCATCGTGCAATACTTCGAGAATACCCCTACTGTATATAAGCACAACTTACACATTCGGCTGCGCCTGGTAGACTAATGTGTGCAAAAATCAAAAGATTTAACAAACCAAACAATGAGACGAAATGGAGATAAAAATATAAACAAATGAAAGAACAGTAATTGTAAACAAAAAATCATACAAACAACATTGCATTGGACGGCACACAGTACGACATAAATATGTATGCAAATCATCCAGCATTGCAATGTTATCAATGACGAAGTTCGGACACGGAACGAATAATAGACAATATTAGGCTTATTTGTTGTGCCTTAATATTATGTTGCGGTAGACATGTGCACAGTTTTCAGTGTCTGTTTTGAAATTCATCCTTTTATCATTAGTGGTATTCACAATGTGGAGCATTTCTAATATAAAGCGTTTGTGGTAATTTTTCTCTTCTTCTAAGACACTCACATTATCAAAATCAGGGTAATGTCCCGTGTCTTTACAGTGGGATGACAAGGCCGTCTTGTTGTCCGAGTGAGTGTTC